GGATGAACCCCAACCCCTAAGTGAATGATGACGTGTTAAGTGAAAATATGGTAAATAGGATGTATTAGAGAATGAGTGAGTGGCATCAGCCCTGTGACAGAAAATAATCGATGGATGCAATCTAGTGGTGACTCTAGAGTAATTCTCATTCTTTATAATTTTATCCAGTTAACAGTGGGGGAGTACTAATTGGCACTTTAAGACTTTCTGTGTATGATACAGCGTATGTATTCAGCATAAAATTATAAAGAATCAACGCAAGAATGAGTCAAGAAGGGAAACAAGCAATGAAGATAGCTCAAGATGAGCCAAGGTCCTCCAACGCCGTTGGTGGAGGAACGAAGACCAGCCAAGGAGCGTCATCCTGGCGGTTGAACCTGAGACAACGAGGAGGTGGGAGGACAAGATACAGTAAACCAACACCCACTAAACCATCCTTCAAAGGGAGATGTGATGACCTTGAAGGGTTCATTTTTGACATTGGGCAGCAACAAGCCACTAAATATACTAAGACTAAGACAGAGATAATCCAATACGCCGGGAGAAAATACGGCGCCAACGTTCGAAGAGCAATAGACAACATGGATTGCATGCGCAGTGACCTAATGTCTGAAATGCCAACACTCCCTGCGTCGTCTGGGGGCAAAACGAATGAAATGGAGATCATTATAACCAAAGAAATGGCAAGGAGACACATTATCGGTACCACAAGGAAGGAATAGCAAATATCCTCTCCCTATCAGCAATTAAGCAAAATCACAGGGTTACATACAATAGTGAAGTGGACAACATATTCAGAATGTACAGCACCAATGGGAGCAAATACAGGGAGTTCTGGCAATCAAGATGAGGGCTATATTACAGTGATATGGCAGAAGATGAGTCAGTGACACTAGCCATCACAACTGTGGAGGGCAATAGGATGAAGTTCTCGGACTTAGACCACAGGCGGGCCGTCAAGGCCAGGAAGGCACAGGAGATCCTGAATATCACTGCTAATGAGATGGTTAAACTAATCCACGGCAACTCTCTAAAGAACTGTAACATCACACGGGAGGATGTGAAGATTGCGAATGAGATCTTTGGGCCAACCATAGTCCGTCTTAAAGGCAAAACAGTCCGCAGGCCAGAACACCATGTGGTAAGAGTGGAGATTAGCCCACTACCAACCACGGTGTTAGATAAGTATTCGAGGGTGGAGCTTGGAGCAGATATCATGTATGTGAATGGAATCAGGTTCTTCATCATGGTGTCTTGCCACATAAGGTTTGGCACAGTGGAAATGATACTGAACTCAAAAGCAGCCACGTTGATCAACAGTATAATGCAAGTGAAGAGGCTATACTCAAAGCAAGGTTTCCATATTGTCAGTATAAACATGGACAATGAATTTTCCCCAATCAGGAACCATACTGAGGAGCTTGGAATCACTCCAAACTTTTCGGCAAGAGATGAGCACGTCCCTGAGATCGAACGATTCATTTGGACTGTAAAGGAGCATGTGCGAGGGATTCAGTGTACTCTTCCATTCACTAAACTCCCAGGATGAGTTACTGTAGTAGAGCTGGTGGCAAGTCAAGTCTGGTGGAATTTGTTGCCAAAGTTGAATGGGATATTGGATAGCATGAGCCCTAGGGCCATCGTAACAGAACAGGAGCTGGATTTCACTAAAACATGTACAGTTACAGTTTGGTGAGTATGTACAAACACATGAGCCAACTGATAATGACATGTCAAAAAAAAAAAAAAAACTTAATATTATATTTAACCTCGTGAACTAGAAGAGGCACTAGGAAGGCCAGAACCATAGCTTCACCTGACTAAGGAGAAGAATGCTACTAGCTGCACCGAGGGGCGGCGCCTCCCTCCGAGGAGKKTTTRTGGAGGMGCGACCARGTTTTATGCACACTGATAGGCCAATCAAGGCCCAGAACTGGACTCAGAGGACATAAAACAATAGGGTCACACTGCCAAGCCTGTAAGATGGGGTGCTTCAAGTCCCAACTTGGAGGCAAGTTATCACCCGCAGTGATCAAGAAGATGTTGGTCACATGCCAAGCCCTTAGGTTAGGGTGTCTCAATTCCCAACCTKTAGGCAAGCCATCACATGCAGTGATCAACGAAATGGGTGTCAAGCACACTGGCAAGCCAATTAAGGCCAGACACGTTCCAGTGTGCGAGGACACGTAGTCAAAGG